TTAACATGACAGCAAAGGTACAACGTTTCGACAAGGTTTTGTCATCATCAGGTACCACTTGTATTAAACTTGTAAACTTGTATTAAAGTTTTTCTTCGTTACCCATTTAAGCCGTCTCCAGCCATTAATAGACATCTTTATCATTCCAAAACTGCACTGTAACAAACAAGGCTTCGTGCTCATTCCTCAAGCACTCTTTAATAACCAAGGAATGCAATACCACTTAGCTAAACTACAGTTTCAACACTTATCAATTATTTCACGATGTAAAAGTGTTTCACTGTACACATAATTCATTGTGATAGTATTGCTTACTTTTATATTTTGTTTGTTTTGAATACACTGAAAATGTGCAGGTCTTTTCAGTCTTCTAAATATTAAAAAGTAGCTGTTTAAATTTAGTCAGTCCTAGAAATAATGTTACTATTTACCTCTAGAAGGTCCTGGAAATATTGTTACTCTCTCCACCTACTCAGTCCTGGAGATGTTGTTACTGTTTACATTTAGTCAGTCCTGTATATACTATTAAATTTTACACTTAGTTCTGGCGTCATTGTCAAAGTTCACACCCAGTCAGTCCTGGATACGTTGTTAATGTTTACTTAGATAGTCTTGGATACATTGTTATTGTTTGCACCTAGATAACCCTGGTAGCAATATAAGTACTAATTTACATGGGTTAACGAGTTTCTTATTTTGAGATTCTTCTAATTTTTTCATCCTACATGATTTCTTAGTATCATAAATAGATAGACCCAATAACGTTTTGTAATTTGATTCTAGTGAGACTTACTTTTTATATAAGTCTTAACAACGCCTAAATTATTGGTTCCTGTAGTGTAAAGTGTAAGTGTAAAGTTAGGTATAGTGAGGCTTACTTTTTATATAAGTCTTAACAACGCCTAAATTATTGGTTCCTGTAAAGTTAGGTCTAGTGAGGTTTACTTTTTTAATGATGATCACAAAACCTTGTTGAAACGCTATAAATTTCCTGTTATGTTAAACTTATATTAAAGTGTTTCTTCATTAACCATTCAAGGCGTCTCCAAGCATTATTAGGCCCAAATTCTTAGTTCCTGTAAAGTTAGGCCTAGAGACACTTGCATCTTAATAAGTCTTAACAGCGTCTAAATTATAAGCTCCTGTAAAGTTAGATCTAGTGATGCACACTTTTTAATAAGTCTTAACATCACTCGAATTATCAGTTCCTGTAAAGTTAGGTGAAGCGAGACTTACTTATTAATATGTCTTAAGAACGCACATATTCTTAGTTCCTGTAAGTGTAAAGTAGGTCTAATGAGATTTACTTTTTATATAAGTCTCAAGAACGCCCAAATTCTTAGTTTCTGTAAAGTAAGGTCTAGTTAGGCTTGCTTTTTAATAAGTCTTAACAACGCCTAAATTCTTAGTTCCTGTACAGTTAGATTTAGTGAGGCTTACTTTTTAATAAGTCTTAACAACGCCTAAATTCTTAGTTCGTGTAAAGTTAGGTCTAGTGAGGCTTACTTTATAATAAGTCTTAACAACGCCTAAATTCTTAGTTCCTGTACAGTTAGATCTAGTGAGGCTTACTTTTTAATAACTCTTAACAACGCCTAAATTCTTAGTTCGTGTAAAGTTAGGTCTAGTGAGGCTTACTTTATAATAAGTCTTAACAACGCCTAAATTCTTAGTTCCTGTAAAGTTAGGTCTAGTAAGACTTACTGGCGTAAGGCTTGGTAAGGTTCGTATAATTAGTCTCAGTTTCACCATACTTAGATCTCGTAATACCTTTACGAATATATCCATAAAATAATTCTTATTTGAATGAGAAAAGAAGAATAACGATTGCGAAACGGGAAGGAGTAAAATATGTGCTTAAAGTGAGTGACGACAAGAGATTTTCCTGGCACTTTTTTTTTCGATTAGCTTATGCCATACGTGTTCAGGAGACGGAAATAGTCAAGAATGTTGATTTTTTTTCTTGGTGTACAGAAGGAACTTGTTAAAGGAAACATATTTTGAAACCTCCACCGTGTTTTGATTGCATTTATATAAACTATTGAAGGAATTTATGTCACATGACACATATCAGCCAATAATTCTAATTCACTAGAAGCTGCTGATGACGGAGGGGGGGGGGGGTTGATCGGCTTAAGAACACTACTTCAATATTTAGGTAAAGAGACCTAAAGATACTGGAGTGAGTTATGAAAGACGGGATACGGAAATACTTAATTTGTAAATGGAAGGTTACGAAAAGGTTACCTCTTGTGAAGTACATCTATATTTTGTTCAGTCCCGGCTCCAGACGTATAATGGAGCCAAATCTAAAATTAGATGGTTTTAGCTTCAGAGGGGATCTTTATTTCAGAGGGCCTAGTCCCTGCCCCCGCTAGCCCCACCCCTGATTTGGTTTTTCCTTCAGGGTATTCAAAGACTGAGTTTGGTAAGACAAATGTTTCCAACCTTCTCCGTACTGTTATGGCTTGTACAGAGTATTACACAACTAGATTAAGTCAATGTTTTTATTTTATTTTATATATGACGCTATTCATAACCATTATCAATTCACCTCAGGTGCTAGAACACGTCCATACATGTTGGACAACGTTATTCATAATCCACATTCTTAATAATTATTATTTACCCTCTGGCGATAGATCATGATGTGTCATCACTTTCATATTAATAATCATACAAAATATTAATTCTGACTCTAGAGCATATCCTTACACAACACACCATTGACAGTTATGCAGGCGCTGCGGTCTCTCAGACAAGGTAATATACATATTTACAATTAAAAGGAATACAACGTTAAAATCATTACACAAGTGAAAAAACAACAAAGATATCGTATTAAACAAGGAACCTCGTCCAGGTCTAGAAATAATAAAGTACTGGACAGGTGTTTTGTAACTCTGAGTAGTTTAAGCCTAGATGGCGCTACCGGTATGTAAATAACTCAACCATGCCTTTATCGTTACTCATGAAGATAGTATCATAGGACACCGAAATATGTAGTCTTTTTTAGGGCGAGTCCCTGTTTTTAATAACTATTTATTGTGTAATGATTTTAACGTTGTATTCCATTTAATTGTAAATAGATGTTTTACACAAGTGTCATTTTAAAATCATTTAACGGAACATATCCTGAAACACCTCACCATTGATAGTTGTGCAGGTACTATGGCCTCTCAGACAACGGAACATATCCTAACTACAGTGCACAGTCATAACTGACCAGT